TCTTTCTCCTTACTCCCTTTTCCTCAGTTCTTATGCAGCAGGTTGTGCAAGCATTTCCCTTATTTTTCTGATAACAATGAGTATCTGGGTTCCTCAAAAATAAATACTACAAATTTTTTTGTGTGTTATTAGCGCAGCAGAATGCTTAACCGTAATTTGAGTTAACGTGTTGCTGAATTAAAGAACGGACCTTTGATATACATCTCACCCCCCCACACCCCCAGTTTTGCCCCCTTCCATAGCTTGTTGCTGGATTTGGCCAGGCTAAGTGGCATAAAAGATCATTGAAGGGATCCAATGAGGTCATTGTTCCAGACATGGATTGGACAGTGAATCAGAGTTAAGTGTTCCTATCATTTTATTCTGGCAAGCTTTTCTCATAAAATTATAGGCTAAAGTGGCATAGATAATGAGGTCTCTTGATCTCAGAGTGGGCATCTCAGAGATCATCTGCTTTATGAAGTTTCCATCATTTGAGGCAGAAATGTCACAAGTATTGTCCTTCAGATTTGGGAAGGCATCCTTGATTCAAAAAGCTTTTTCATAGTTTCATGTCTGTAAATAGCCCAAATTTAAGGATGCTCAGTTCTGAGGTTCCCACTGTGTAGCTCCCATCTGAAATATACTGAAATCTGTTTATAGTAAATACAGGTGTAATGAAAATCCTCTTTATAATACAGTAAAATTAAACCATGTGTCTGTTTAGTGCTGTGCAGTGGGTTTAATGGTGTTACTTTGCAGAGGCCTTTCACTCTGGAATGTAATAAAGGTCCAGGAAGTTCCACTAAACTGAAGAGCTGATAAACACCTCATCCACTCCCACAGTCATGAGATGAAAGCAAAACTACTGGCAAAGTTCCTAGCAGCTCTGTGGTAAAGTAAATAAAGCATTTACTGCTACTCTTTTTTGATTCAAAAGTGAAAAGGCGAGCTTGCTAGTATTTCTGTGACCAGTAGAATGAAAAGGAGCTATTCCATGTCTTTCTGAATAAAGAAAGTCCTGCTGATAGTAAAGGCAACTGTGAAGGAAAAAACCCTTGGAGGGGAGGGAAAGACCCTAACCTTTCTCCCCACCCCCAAGAAAAACCTAACAACAGAGCTGAAGCTATAGGCCACCATTTATTATTAATACGTATGAGCTGTACTTATGAATTGTAATTAGATACAGGGAGTGCAGCCTTCCCTAATGCTTTTGATGGTAGATAACTGCTTTCATTAGAAATTCCAGATAAATGGCTTGGGTTGGAAGAAGAAAAAAGCCTGAGGGTTGGGACAGGATGATGACTGGCCTGGGAATGGAAGATCTTCCTGCAGGGAAAACCTTGGGCATGGCCTTGTGCTGGAGTTGCCTTAAATGTCTCTTTGGGGAAGAAGGTAACCATACGACATTCCAGGAAAGCCCATTGCCAGCGCTGGATTAGCTGAATCAAGGACACTGCAGATGGTTCCTCAAGAAGACTTTCCCAAAGACAAGGGGAGAGGTGGCAGGAAAGTAGGAGTGGGTGTTTGAAGCTTGTAGCTGCTATTGGCAGGACAAGCATATATCCTGTTCCTTACTCCTTCCCTCCACACATAGTTGCAACAGCCTTGTTTCTGGGATGTGTTGGGTTTGCTGCAACTGTATATAGGACTTTTGGTTTCTGATGTGCCAGTGTGCCAAGTCATTACAAGCATCTGAACCATTCTCCTGGACAAGGCAAACTGGAGTACTGTCATGTTACTGTTGAAGTAACTTCCCTGAGGAAGTTGTTACATACACACATACTAAGTATGGAAATACCAAATCGGCTGACAAAGTTAGGTGAATAGGGTGCTCTGGCGATTCTTTTAAATATCTGTCCATGCCATTAGCATATGCATTGGATTCTGCCTAGCTTTATTGAAGTAGTAAAATAATTTTTGTCTTCAGAAAAAAAAAAACCCAAAACATTATAGAAGTACTATTGCTTGAATTATGTTGTTTTGGTGTGTTATTATTGCCTTTGCTACACTACTCCTACTACTTTAAGAAGCTTAAAGTGTAGTGGACAGTGATGTGGGATCAAATACATTCTGACTGGTTTGCAAGCAAAAACCATGGTGTGATTATTTTTTTTTATTAATCAGAAAGCAACTGTCTATTTAAAGTGCTTAGCCCATATAATATATATAACTTTATTATACAGTTACACATGACACAACTTGGGTTGTAGAGTTTTATGCCACTAGTGTTTTACTTCCTTTTTAATAAGTGAAGCTAATGTCCTAATGGCAGTTCAATTGCTTTTACCATTTTTGAAGTGTTACTAATTAAAGACATATTTGAAACACAGGAAATCAAAGTCTAACTAAAGTAAAACCTGAGCTATCCACATATGGCATGCAAAAAGGGTGTACAAATAAGCAGATTTGCTGAATGCCTCCAATATTAATGGTGTAGGCACACCCAGCCTGTCAATATTTGGTTTAGGAAAATTTGCTTTTAGTAGTGAATGTAAGTTGAAGTCCCTTCTTCTTGTTAAAGTGGTGAGAGAATACTGTAGACTCTTGTCCTAGTCTTGCTTAAGAAAAGTAGGAGGGCAGATGTCTCTTCCTCCTCTAGAAGGTGTTGAGATATCTTGGTTCAACAAAGATGCAGCACAAGGTATTTTCACTGTAGGATAGTGAGAGAGAGAGAGAAAACAAATGTTGAGTTCACACTTCTTTGTACCTGCAAAATCATGGGAGAGAAAGCTTTTGAGGCCATCAATCTTTTGGGACAGTAGAAAAGACAGTGTTGAACAGAAAATGTCCTCTTTTGACAGTTCATTAATCCCTCCTGGTGGCTGTAGGTTACATGGATCTAAGGTCACCAGGATTACAATAACCAAATCCAAGTGTACCTGTGCGGGATAGTACTGGTCCAGCAGAGCGTTATGGGTCTTGCCCCTTCATTTCTGTTCCTCACTGCTTTGTTGTTGTGGTATTAGACCTTAAGCTCACTTTAGACACCTTTCTTTTCATCATTGATTTAATATAATAGTAATTATATTACTATTACAAATAGTTAGTGTATACAGTGTCCCTAAGACTTTTATTTGGTTTTGCAGTTTATACGTTGTGGTTGAGTAAATGTGATGTGTTCTCTTTGCCATGTGTGTCTCCTACCCATTTAGTGAGGGTCTATTTTTACTGTTTTTCCTCCCTTGGAGGTGTCTCCACTGATGGCTGCATCGTGGCTTCTAAAAGCAGGACAAATACAATTTACAAATGGCAGTAGACTCACACCAACTTCCCATTAAGGAGAGGGCAGGGGCAAGGGGAGAGCAAACTCCTGTGCCAGAGGTGAGAAACACAGCTGGAAAGCACAGGCAGAATCAAAGTCCTCGCACATAAGGATGGCGATATCACTGCCAAACCTTTTCCTCTCCCTGTTCTGTTATTTTCATTCTTTGGGATTTTACTTTGGCCTTTGCAGTCTAGCCTTCCTGTTCGATTTCATACTAAGGTATTTGGTTACAGAGGTGTAAACTTTGTTGGGAAACAAGCAAAGCAACCAAAACCATGGCAATGTGCAGTAGAGTACGTTGTTCTGTGTTCAGCAGCTCATTGAAAACATGTAACATTGTTGTTGGTCTGATTTAAGTTTTTATATCCATGCTCATACAGAGGAGAGTAACCTTGGGCATTGGGAGGACAGTATTACTATGATGACTAATGAAAAACCCCTTTGTTCGTAATTGGGCATTGATTCTTCCCTTGTGCTTCTGCATGAATTCATACACCATACTGTCCTCCATTTGCAAACTCGTATTGGGGAAAACATTTTCTTCTAATAGCTGGTCTTTGACATTGTGCTCTCATTTTCATCTTTCCTGAAGATACTTTGCAGGAGCAGAATGTATCAGTGTAGCAGAATGTATAACCCTTGCACTTCCAGAATTAACAAAAGCAGCACTCAGAGCAGGGCTGCATTGCTCCAGAGGGGCAGGAAGGGTGGAAGTAGTCTCTGTGCTGTAAACCTCATGACTATGGGCATGGGATGTGCAAAGACTGATTACTTGGCAAAGGAGAACTGTGGCTGTTCTTGGAAAAGCAGAGCAGGCTTTTGGGTGGAACCACTGCAACTGGTCCCTTTAACTCTTGGTTTGGATCATGTATCTAACTCTGCTCACCTTTTTCCTTTAAGAAATACAAGCATACCCACCCCTATCCCTGAAATGAGCCTACCTGCTGTACAAAGAGTGTAGATAAATAATAGCAATTATCCACCTTGGTGCATTACTCTGACTTTGCCCGTGGCTTTTCCTTGGATCAGATTGAGTTGGATGACTTAATGGCAGCAGACAACAAAAGACTAAACAGTTACTTTGTGGAGTAACTCTTTTAGATGACTGACAAATGTATGTATCGTTGAGTTTATAGATTAAGAAAGGAAAAATCAGTGTTTTTGAGACACCGTAAATGTATTTTTATAAACACAAAGTATATTCATACAAGGTATGTACTATTTCTGTATTTATTTGTTTTTCTTCGTAGCAGAACAAATGCATGGTTCTCCTGTAAGCCTGAAAGCGGTACCTTTCTTCTTCGCTATATAATTCTTGATCTGAGTAGCAGGGGGTCTTATGAAACATTTTAAGCCAATGTTAATTTTATAAATTGCATTCCCTTTTCCACAATTCCCATGAAAAAGGTATTCAGCTAGATGAACGCTCTTGGAAAATTTTAATAGGACCCTTGAAATCTGTTTGAATTCAGTTTCTTAAAAAAAAAAAATCTCTTTCTAATGGAAGCTGTGAAAGTATCAGAGATTCTTATGCCTTAGAGGCAATTTTTCTTCCATACATAATGGTGAAATGCCACTGTTATAATATATGGGTGTTTAAAATATTCTCTTTGTTAAATTGAAGCTCCTGCTTAGAAGTATGTGAGTTGGGCTCTTTTTATTTGTTTTGTGTGACTTTCATTATTATTCTTGACCAGTATTCATACAATTTTCATAGCACTTCCCGTTTGTTGTTGGTTTTTTTTTCCCCCAGTCTTTTCCTGGCCCAAGTCTTGAAAGTGAAGATTTTAACATACCTCCTATAACTCCTCCGTCACTGCCTGACCACTCCCTGGTGCACTTGAATGAGATAGAGTCTGGATACCACTCTCTGTGTCATCCCATGAACCACAATGGCCTCCTTCCATTCCACCCACAAAACATGGATCTACCTGAAATTACAGTTTCCAACATGCTTGGCCAAGATGGGACACTGCTTTCCAATTCCCTCTCTGTGGTAAGCATTTTTAGTCTTTCCCTTCTGTTCTGCTTTAAGTTGCAAAATCGTGGAAATGCAGAGCTGTTTGAAATCCTCCGAGAGGCCAGCTCCTGCACCACTCACATCATGGAGCGAGCTGCCCTGACTCTGGGTTTTACAATCACACTCCCTATGTCAAATTCTCCTCCCACCAGAGGCGGTGGGAGTTTTACAGCTGAGTTCCTCAAAGCCTGGATGTTACCTGCCACCTTGAGTAGAATTACTCCTGCTTTACGTGGATGTAAATAATGACAAAAGGAGGCTCAAGGGTTTGACTTCCATTGGTTCAGTGTTTGGATCCAGATGGCCGTTGTTCTGTTTGTCTGACGAGGCTCTTGCCGTTCTCATTTGCATGTGCTGAGAGACGTACAAAAATTTAATATCTCCTTTCTTGTTTACCGCACGTTTGGAAAACAGCAAATGTTATTTCTGATTCTAGGCCAAATCTTATAGCCTTTTTACAGTTCCCAGTCCTTAGCCAGCCAGAATCCAATTGAAATGACTGGACGATTTGCTTATAAAGTCTGTCAGATAGTCATTATGGTTGTAATCTTGGGAAGCCTTATATTATAAATCACTTCTTTGAATGTTAAATTGCTTGCAACAACTGCAGAGCTACTTTGCATGTTACGTTTTCAAGTGGGCTCTACAAATAATTAGTGTATTCCTGGCATAGCAGCTCCAGACAAGATTATTTCACGTCGATGTACAATTCTAAGCCAAAGAGTTAAAAATCCCATGGAAGATGGTGGGGCCTGGCATTGTGTGGGGCTTACTGCACTTCAGGCACTCTGCTATGTGGGCTGCCAAGGAACTGCAGGTCTGGACAGCCGAAGTTCGGGGTCTGCCGTTCCTAGAGTTCCAAGGGTTGAGGCTTCTCATTGAAGGATCAGAGGCTCAGGGCCCTGTGTCCCAGCTGGGAGGCTCTGTGCTTAGGGACTGAGTCTGTCTAGGCTTCCAGTTTGCTAGGTCCCCATCACATTACCCAAAACCCATAAATCAGTCCTGGGAGCCTGGGAGCTGAAGCAGCATATGGAGGTTTGGGGGCTGAGGGATCTAGGCTGAGCTCCCCATCAGCCCCTCAGACTAACAGCCCCGAGCCAGGGGCCATTGTGGCCAGAAAAAAGACAGTTTACAACAAAAATCTGCCTTGTCACAGGGCTTCATTGCAACTTAATTAAAATAAAGCTGCCTTGATTTCAAGGAGCTCTGCATTCCCTCTGAGGATGTCCAACAAGCTGTACTGCAGGGGGGCTAGTCTTGGCTTCTTATGTGCTGCTTAGTTGTTATTGATTTACTAAGATGTTGCATGCTTTGTGTTTGAGGTCAGAATCTGACCCCAGGGTTATGTTCAATGGGAGGAGGGGAGGAGAGGCAGATTTTCATAGAGAAATATAAATACACTTTGTTGAAATGTTTTGGATTTTGCTTGCATTTCTACAAAGCTGATGGTGTGCACTGAAGAGCGTGAGCTAAATCTTGTGCAGGGTTCTGAGAATCAGAGCAATGAAAGGACTTGAAAAAGTAAGAGAAACCCTTGGCACTCCAGTCAAGACAAGCAGTATTTCACTGAACTGACCTCTTTTGAGCCATGGTTATGGCTCAAAACTATGCATTCTTTTAAGCCCTGATGTTCCACATTAACCTCTTGCAACAAGCTCTGAACAAAGGACCCTGAGAGTTTGTAGATCATCATAGTGAATTATTGCATCAAGGGCAAATACAAAAAAGCTGAATAATATAACTAGGCAATTTTGCTATTAGGACTTAGTGAAGATCAGAAAAAATGAAAATCAGACGTCAAGGAAATATGTGCTAAATTTTTACAGTCATTTTTAAGGATTCATTCAATAAATAAAGCATGATCCTTGAAGCGTCATAGGCTAAGTCAACTGTTATTCCTAACTTGCATGACCCCTGCACACAAGAGGGCCTCTTAACTAGCAATAGTTTTAACTCAAGCTGGCTTGTCTGTCAAGAGGATTAAGCTACATCTCATGTTAGTACAACTGGTAGAATGTTAACACCACGATTTTGTACAGTTCAAACACTTTGGCTGTATTGTTCTTCTGATTGGAATTTGATAACTTGAGAGAAATTAACTTGAGGGAGATAATTTCAGTTAATTCTTCAGTTAATTCAGTGACTTCTTCAGTGAATGGAATGGCCCCGTTGCCCTTTTGGCTTTCCATTGATGAAGAAAGACAGAGGATTTTGTAAAGTTAGCATTCTTTACTTAGATTTGAATCTCTTCTTTATAATCCAGAACCTTTTGCATTTTTTCTTCAATATGACTCTTTTCTCTTGCTATTACTCATCTCTAAGTTTCCTTTTTACTATCTCATCAAACTCTGATCCGTTTAACAAGTACTTGCCTAAATCACTTTTATATTGCCTCACACAGAAAATAATGTATATGTTTCTCCAATCTATCTAAACTCTTGGTGCCATATAATTTCTGGTATATCAGCTACCGCTTAGTGTATTTGGAAACCATGTATCGCTTCATTTTTCAGGGCACTAATGAGTGTTTTTAGAAAAATTATTCTTAGAAATGAATCTGTCGGCTGTTCTCTATCCAATTAATTTCACATCTTCAGCAAATTTTACTTATATTGGGACAAATTCAGCTGCAGTGCAATGTCCCTCTGATTAAATTTGGTCTCTTTTTTTTTTCCTCCTTTCAACATCCTTCCTGTTACCCAGTTTTTAACCCATGTTAGTATTTTAGCAATAATGCCTTCCTTTTTGTCTGTGTTAGAACTAGTGAGGGGTTTTCAGTTGGTGTTTTTATATACAAAGCATTAATTAATGTTAGCCAAATGAGAGAAAGGAAACACAGTGAGCTCAGAAACAAAGTAGGAAAATAGTTTGTACACTGAGTATAGCATTTTTCTTTCATCTCACCAACCAGGTGTTTTCAGATGAGGATTTCTGTGATTTTGGACAGATTGAAAATTGAGGATGTACTCCTTCTAAGACCCTTTCAAAACTCCACCAATTAGAAGTCCTGGTTTCATACTGTGCAGCACTCCCTCCAGGCTGCAGATGAAATCCCTTTGAGTGAGGATTGCAGGATTTGCCCCAAGCTCTCTAAGATTTCTCCTCTGTGGAAGTGCTTAAGTACACACAATAAGAGCCCGCTACCAGCTCAAGTGAATTCTATTTAGGGACCAGCTTCTTACAGATTCTTTACACTGTGGGAATTCTTTCTGAAAAATTTTACAATGCTGGGAGATGAAAATTTCCCATTGCCATTTACTGTGTCTGATACTTAAATTTGGAATTAGCCTTCTTTGAAGTTTTTTTGACTGATTGGACTTCCTATTGCAACCCTACTACTTTAAAAAAAAAATCACTAAAATTTCTCTTTCTCATTATTCTGCTGTCAGTTCATATATTGGCTTCTATGTTTGTGTTTTTCTGTTTTCTGCTTAGGTGACATACAGGGATGTACACACATGCACATGCACACTAATTTATACCATGCTGTCACATGCAGATTTCTTTAGATGGTCATTATATCTGGATATTGGGGGTTCAGAAGCCTACAAAATTTGTGCAGAATGTGACACACAGTGGTATGAACACAGTCCAGCCCCAGCATGATCGGCCATGGGCGGGAGCTCTCTAAAGTCCTCCTTCAAAATGGACATGACTTCTATTCCTGCTTCTTAAGTGGATCCAATTAGAGAGAGAGGGAGCTGTTTAATGAAGATGTACTGATGGTCCTGTAGGCATGTTTGTTTATATGTAATGAAATAGGGTTCCCTTCCTGATTTACTACAGTTGAATGTAGCCCTCTGTAGGTTTGGTTCAGTTCTAGTTGGGGCGTGACCTGCCAGCAGTTCTCTGTTTGCATGAATTTTCCTGAAATATTCCAAGGACCACAAGAAATACCCTTCCAACATTTGCAGACAAATGCATGTATATACCATCGCTATGAGAATGTGTGTCTGTCTATAAAAATGCTTTTGGATGTGTTCTATAAAATGAGTTTTACTGTGTGTTCATTTTATCAGTAAAACTACAGACATTTCAGCTTCTTTAGTATATCCTATAGATGATTGCTTTTTTCCCCGAGAAACCAGGGTTAAAAATCACAGTGCTGTTTTTACATAGAGGAAAAAAACCCTATTTTCTGAATGCTTTCATTTATAATCTTGTGCTGATCTTTTTGAAATGTGGCTCATGATGGTATACTATAGAAAATTTACAAGAAAGAAATAAAAGAGATTTTAGTTTCTTGAAATGCTTCAAATTTCTGGGTTTGAAGTTTAAAGTGGAAAAGATGTTAAAAGGCAATAAAATCAGGGGATTTATTTCCCAAATGCTCTACTTGTGCTGGCAACAAAAGCCAGCATAATGTATATACTTGGGTTTATTGTCAGTTTTAGTATATAGTCAAGGCACACTTTGAATTCAAAGGCTACTGTACAACTGTTTTGACAACCACCACATCAGTAGGTAATGTGCAGGACATATGAAACTGAAGCAAAAATGTTTCTTTAGGTCTGTAGGGAGTGCAGTACATCAATGAATTCAGATATATTAGAGCAGCATGAATTTCTAATATGTTGCTCTTATGGAAAAGACCACTGGCATATTGAATAATGCTGCTTTCAAAGCAGAGCAGAAAATGTGATTACAGACAATTTCATTGCTGTTTTTAAAATAAATATTTTCAAAATCTTGAGGTATTTTATTTCATGTAATGCATAAAATATGTAACAGTGGACTAGAGCTAAAGATCTTCTAGGACACGGAAGAGTAGATGATGTCAGCTATAATTATTCAGATGTGGAATAATAGAAGCATTAGTTTAAAATAAAATGCATGTCACAAAGGCCCATGTCCTTATATAAAAAAAAAGCAATAAAAAGCGCTCTTTTTTTGCACACTTTGACAGAAGAATAAAGGCAGTGAATAATTTTTTAACATTATGCCCCAATTCATCAAAGCCCAAACAATTACATTAT